TCGGTGAGGCGTCGTCGCGGCAGAATCCGGTGGGGGAGGGGAGGGTCGTCGCGGCTGGATCGATCGGGCCGCGCCGCAGCCAGGCCCCGCCGTGTCCGCGCATCTGGCCGCGCTGACTCCGGGGGGCACGCGGCTGGCCGAGCACCGCGCCCGCAAGCCGGCTGGGGGGCCTCGCCACCGCATGCAGGGGGCCTCGCCGTCGCCGCCAACGGACGCGTCGCGGCGGCGTCAGGGCTGCGCGCAGGGCCGCCCTGTTCCGAGCCTCGCTTTGCGATGCCGGAGAAGGGAGGCCGCGGCGCGGATGCGAGCAGGGCCGGCGTCGATGTCGAGCTGCTGCTGCTCGTAGAGCCTCCTCTCCGGTGCCTCCCCGTTGGCCCACGCGCGGCCGGGCGCGCGCGCTGCCAGCCGCCCTCGGCCGGCGAGTCCGCCCCGGCCCTCCCCTTGTCGCGCCAGGAGCCGCAGCTGCGACCGGCCTAGCGGCCACGCGAGGCCCTGCAGCAGGTAGCGCCCACGCGAGGCCCACGCGACCGGAACAGTGGTGGGGAGGGGGCGCCGCCGCGGGCCGTGGTGGGGACGGGGCAGTGGGATGCCGGAGCTGCGTCGGGCTGCTTCCGTCCGCCCCACGCCGAACCTCCTCCTATGAAGCGGGACGAGCGCGCCGAGCGTCCTGCTGTGACAGGGGCCGCGCGCGCGGAGCCTCCTGCCACGAAGCTTCGCCGGAGGAAGGATGCCGCCGACCGGGAGGCGCCGCCGCAGAGAGGTGGGCGAGCACGTTTGGATCTCGCTGCTCTCGTGCTGTGAGAGAACTGAGAGGAGAGAAAAAAAGGGGTTATTTGGATCACGCTATTATAATTCTTCGACTTTGAGTTCTACCGTTACAATTCACGCTATTATAATTGCTATTACAATTTTTCTTCTATCTTATACTTATCATTTTTTATGTCTTTCGAGTGTTTGGGCCCACTGTCAGACCATATACGTGTACACATCTTCCGTATGGACCAAAACACCCCCGGTTGCTTCTCTCCCTCCACTCACTGACATGTGGGCTCCACACGTCAGATTCTCCTTCAACCTCCAGCGGTCTCCTCCTTGAGTCTCCTCTTCCTCCACCGTCCAAACGAGGGGGAGGGCCCGCGCGCCCGCGTGGCGGCGGCGGTGGTCGCTCGCCTGCGCGCGACCATGGTGGCGCAGGGATGTTGCTCAAGCTGTTCGTGGGGCCCATGCTGCTCGGCATGGTGGTGGTGTCCGCGTTCGCCGTGTTCCTGGCGTAGCACGCGAGGGAGGCGGCGGCGGTCGCGCCCGCCCTGTTTCGGCTGTGCCTCGGGACGGCGGCTGAGTTGGGCTTGTCAAGGGCCGGCGTGAGCGGAGGGCGCGAGGGATGGGCTGGATCTGCGCGGCGGTGGCGGCGGCTACTGCTGCTGCTGCTCGCCTACGCGCCTGCGGGAGCATGGCAAGCAGCCAGCGGCAGCGCACGCTCGGGTTAGTAGGGCACGCTCGCGCAAGCAAGACAAGCAGCGAGCGGCTACAGCGGGCGGCGGGTTAGCGAGCAGGAGCCGCGGCCATGGCTGCCGGCGTCGGGGAGAGGCCTGCCCAGAGCTCGCGTGCGGCCATGGCCTGGACGGAGCTCCCACGCGGGAGGTCGGGTTCGAAGTGTCTGCCCGCCCCTCCCATCTCGCCGAACGCCGTCCTTCCAGGATGGCTGGAGGTTGGAGGAGAAACTGACGTGTGGGGCCCACACGTCAGTGAGTGGAGGGAGAGAAGTAGCAGGGGTGTTTTGGTCCATATGGAAGATGTGTACACGTATACAGCCTGACAGTGGGCCCAGACACCCGGAAGACGTAGAAAATGGCAAGTATCAGGTAGAAGAAGAATTGTAATGGCAAGTTTCAGAATAGGTGAATTGTAATGACAGATCTCCAAAGTTGAAGAATTATAATGGCGTGGTTCCAAATAACCCGAGAAAAAAACGAGATTCAAATAAATTTGAAACAGGTGTCGGTGCGTGTTGAACCACGTGCCCAAGTTTGGGCTGGGGCCAGGACCACGCGCCAGGGCAGGTTGGGGGATGCTGGATGCTGGTTGGGTGAACCAGGTACCTACAGTTGGGGCTGGGGCTTCCTCTAATTATTGAAAGCCCTAAGCTTTAAATAACATATCTATATAGATATAGATATATATAAAGATAGGCATAGAGATAAAGATAGATAATTAATCCATCCATATCTTATCCAACTCACTGCCATCCCTACAAGCTGCCGCAGGCGAGCGGTGGCGGCGACCGACGAGCCCCTCCCCATTGATCATGACCTATGTTTGTTCCTCAGGTTTGTTTGAGCGATGGAGAATAAAATACTCTCTTCGTGAAGACACGTTATTCTCGCTTCTCGGGAGTCACTCAATCTTAACTTTGATAAAATAATATAAACAATTAAAAATTTAATATTTATAATATGTAATAAGTATTATTAGATAAATAATAAAATATATTTTTATGATAAATATATTTAGAGATAGAAAATACGATATTATTTTCTAAAAATTTGGTTAAATTTTAGAAAAGTTTTGACTTAAGATGATACTTTTTTGGAGATGGAGGTTGTATGTCGGTCATTAATCTCCAAACTACAGTGACTAAACTGCCCTTTATAATTATAATTAATTAGTTCCTTTGAATTAAGATCAATCAATAAAAGCCATAGGGAGGAACCGCACCCTTTCAGTAACTCACAGAATGAGCTCACCGGCGTCGGAGACTACCCTGCCGCAGTGCCTCTGCTGGGATTCAGCGGGTGGTTGTGTGTACAGCCTGACAGTGGGCCCAGACACCCGGAAGACGTAGAAAATGACAAGTATCAGGTAGAAGAAGAATTGTAATGGCAAGTTTCAGAATCGGTGAATTGTAATGATAGATCTCCAAAGTTGAAGAATTATAATGGCGTGGATCCAAATAACCCGAGAAAAAAACGAGATTCAAATAATCTTGAAACAGGTGTCGGTGCTTTACTTATCTGGTTGTGTTGAACCACGTGCCCAGGTTTGGGCTGGGGCCATGACCACGCGCCGGGGCACGTTGGGGGATGCTGGATGCTGGTTGGGTGGAACCAGGTACCTACAGTTTGGGCCGGGGCTTCCTCCAATTATTGGAAGCCCTAAGCTTTAAATAACATATCTATATAAATATAGATATAGATAGACATGGAGATAAAGATAGATAATTAATCCATCCATATCTTATCCAACTCACTGCCATCCCTACAAGCTGCCGCAGGCGAGCGGTGGCGGCGACCGACGAGCCCCTCCCCATTGATCGTGACCTATGTTTGTTCCTCAGGTTTGTTTGAGCGATGGAGAACAAAATACTCTCTCCGTGAAGACACGTTATTCTCGCTTCTCGGGAGTCACTCAATCTTAACTTTGATAAAATAATATAAACAATTAAAATTTTAATATTTATAATATGTAATAAGTATTATTAGATAAATAATAAAATATATTTTTATGATAAATATATTTAGAGATAGAAAATACAATATTATTTTCTATAAATTTGGTTAAATTTTAGAAAAGTTTTGACTTAAGATGATACTTTTTTGGAGATGGAGGTTGTATGTCGGTCATTAATCTCCAAACTACAATGACTAAACTGCCCTTTATAATTATAATTAATTAGTTCCTTTGAATTAAGATCAATCAATAAAAGCCATAGGGAGGAACTGCACCCTTTCAGTAACTCACAGAATGAGCTCACCGGCGTCGGAGACTACCCTGCCGCAGTGCCTCTGCTGGGATTCAGCGGGTGGTTGTGTGCCGTTTGACCGTATCAGGCAGACAGACATCTTGTAGACCTCGCACATACCGCGTATTACTGGACCACTGGGGTAGGCCCCATACGCAACCCCCATCAGTTTAGGGGGTGTTTAGTTGGGCAAAGTTTGAAACTTTGTATAGTGAAGATTTCCTACTGTAGTATTTCGTTTATATTTGTAAATTATTGTTCAAACATTGACTAATTAGGCTTAAAAGATTTGTCTCGCAAAGTTAAAGCAAACTGTATAATTAGCTTTTGATTTCGTCTATATTTAGTACTTCATACATGTACCACAAATTTAATGTAACGGAAAATCTTCTTTTTCATAGTGCACTTTTTAGGAGTTTGGACGAACTAAACAAGGCTCAGCTCATTTTGAGGTTTGACCGGTAGCAAAAAAAGGTTCCCTGGCGACTGCCAATGCCGACGCCGTGATGCCTACTCGTAGTAGCACCAGGAGAAAAAACGCATTCTTTTTCCCGAAGTCCTCGTTCCGTCAACAGATGAGACTTCTGCTTGCAGAGGCCGCCGTCGGCGGCCCGTCGGGGAAGAAAACAGAGACTAGTAAAGTAGTAAGGCATTTTTCTACTCGTGTCAGAACTCAGAATGTCCGAAAACATCACCGTCAGCACCCACTTCCCACGCCTTACGCCTTGTTTAGATGCCATACAAATTCCAAGTTTTTTACTCTTTCTCCATCACATTAATTTTTAACCGCTTGCATGGAGTATTAAATGTAGGTAAAAAAAAAACTAATTACACAGTTTAGTTGGAAATCATGAGATGAATCTTTTGAGCCTAGTTGTCCACGATTGGACAATATTTACCAAATAAAACGTAAGTGATACTATTTATCGGGTTCACTTTTTTTTTTTAAGTGAACGAGGCCCCAATCACCGTTGCAGAGCTGAGCCGAGCCACCGCAGCTGTAACTGTGAGTAGAAGTCACTGCTGACGGTGTTACGGTCAAGCTTGGCTTCTGGATCGTCGCATGTTGAAATGCAAAAGCGGACGCGCACGGGCAGGCAGTAGAGGCAGGGGAGGGTTCAATGGATTTGCCGTTTGCACAAGCATCCCGGTGAAACTTGCAGTGCCGAGTGCCGACGAGTAGAATTCTACCTCGTCATAGTTGGGTCTAGGGGTGCGTCGCGCCTTCCGTCCTTGCACTGGCCGAATAGTCGCGAGAGCCATGGCCGCGGGTGCGCGGCCACCACTAGCTCTGTTGCTTCCCCTGTTCGTTACTTTCTTCTCCTCCCCTGCCTCCGCGGCTGACACCATCACCGCCAACTCTTCCCTCAGCGATGGACAGACGCTCGTTTCAACCACCGGAGTGTTCCAGCTGGGCTTCTTCACCCCGGCTGACTCGACGGCGAGGTTCCTGGGCATCTGGTACATGGGCCTCGCTCCCCAGACCGTCGTCTGGGTCGCCAACCGGGAAGCCCCGATCACCGGCGCCACGGCGAGCCTCGCCATCAACGGCACCGGCAGCCTGGTGCTCGCCGACCCCTCGGGGCGGGTGTTCTGGTCGTCGCCGCCGCCGTCGAACGTGAGCAGCACTGGCGCCGCCCCGGTGGCGGCGCAGCTGCTGGACAGCGGTAACTTCGTGCTCCGAGGCGGGGGTGGCGCCGGCGCCGGCGCCGTCCTGTGGCAGAGCTTCGACTACCCGTCCGACACCCTGCTCCCGGGCATGAAGCTCGGGTGGGACCTGACCACGGGGCTCGACCGGCACCTGACGACGTGGCGGAGCCCCGGCGACCCGTCCCTGGGCGACTACACGTTCGGGTTCGACCTCCGTGGCGTCCCCGAGGGGTTCATACGGCGCGACGGCACGGTGCCCGTGTACCGGAACGGGCCGTGGAACGGGCTGCAGTTCAGCGGCGAGCCGGAGATGGAGCCCAACAACAGCAACTTCCAGTTCGAGTTCGTCGACAACGCCAGCGACGTGTACTACACGTTCCTGGTGGACGGCGGTAACGGCGGCGGCGTGGTGTCGCGGTTCGTGCTGAACCAGTCGAGCGTGCAGCGCTACGTGTGGCCGCCGGGCGGGCAGGGGTGGAGCCTCTACTGGTCGCTGCCGCGGGACCAGTGCGACAACTACGGGCACTGCGGCGCCTTCGGCGTCTGCGACACCAGCAGCGGGTCCGCGACGTGCGCCTGCGTGCGCGGGTTCACGCCGGCGTCGCCGCGAGACTGGGAGCTCAGGGACAGCTCCGCTGGGTGCAGGCGCGTCACGCCACTCAACTGCACCGGGGACGGCTTCCTGCAGCTGCGCGGCGTCAAGCTGCCGGACACGACCAACGCGACGGAGGACGCGGCCATCACCGTCGACCAGTGCCGGCAGAGGTGCCTCGCCAACTGCTCCTGCCTGGCCTACGCCGCTTCCAACATCAAGGGCGGCGACAGCGGCTGCATCGTCTGGAGCTCGCTGCTCGTTGACATAAGACATTTCCCTTCCGGTGGCCAGGATCTGTTCGTTCGCCTCGCGGCATCCGATCTGCGTACGAATCTCCTCACTCGTCTCTTTTCAACTCTTTGTTGATTGATTGACATCATGGTTTTCAAAGATAACAAATTTGATTTTGGAACAATAATAATACTTTTGATTAGATGAGGCAATCAAGATGGAATTTCTTTTCAGAAACCCAGTCACCTAGACAGAAAGGGAGCTGTAAATTAAAGCATATGAAATCTTCTTGAAAACACAGACCATTTATACTTTTGAGTCCTATATACTATAGATTTAAGGAATCATTAGGAGAATGATGGTTAGATTCTTCGGCAGAAGAATTAATTAGATATACACTAATATATTAGCCATGGCCCATAAGCTTTATTAGATATACACTGTATTACTTGTACCATGAGGCGTGAGCTCATGAAATTAAAGATAAGTGCATCTTTAAGCCTGAATTGACCAGTCCTCTACCAATATCTAGATTGGCCGGACCTTTTTTTGGCAAATGTTGCTTTCAGGAACAAGTACCTAAGGCTAATGCGAGTTAGCGCCGGTCGTTTTCAATTTCGGACTTGATATTTCACGTAGATTATCGTTTTCTTTGTATATGATACTAGTCATCATGTTTGGTTAAACTTAACTAAGGTTCCCGCCAAGTCATTCAGCCTGTTCGCTGGTTGGTTTCTGGGCTAATAAGTCCGGCTGTTGCTGGTTTGTTGTGAGAGAAAAACACTGTTGACTGGCTGATAAGTCCTAGCTGAAACCAACAAGCGAATAGGCTGATTGCGTAGCAAAGTAGCCTGTAGTGAACCAAGAGAGGAAAATGGCCATATTTCAATTATGTTTGACAATCAATATACTACTACTTTGTCTGCTCTAAGATATGGTAGGTTACCACCACACCAGCGTTGTTTTCTTGTACTTGCCAACTGCACGAGTTTGATCCTGAATCACAAGCAAACGCAAACAACACAGAAGGAAAATATCATGTTGCATGTTGCAAGTGCAAATAATACGTAGCAATCAGTAATGATTTAAGAAGCCATTGGTTTTTTTTAATGCTATTGGGTTTTGGGGTTTCTTTCTTTCAAAGCAACAGCCCTTTGTCAATCATTTGGTAGTAGCAGCTGGTGTGCAAAATTCATACATACAGTACGACAAAATCAATGTGCCTAGCTCAACCAACTAACGTTTCCACGATGATGTCGACAGCCTCCAATGGAGACGGTTCCAGGAAGAAGAACATAGTCGTCGCCGTTCTCGTAAGCTTATCGGCCATTCTCCTTTTCGGCTTCGGCGGATTCTTCATCTGGAACAAGCTTTTCAGAAACAAAGGTGCGTGAGCCCAAGCCACCCGTTTTCCGAAACAAGGGAGAAATCGACGACAGTTTTGCTGCAAATAAATCCATGTGCTAATTTAATCCCGCGTCTGAAACGAAATTCTGCAATCCAGGGAGGTTTCAGAGCGTGCAGAGGTTCAGCTCGTTTGACTCCAACGTCCTTCTTACTCCGGTCCAACTCCAAGACAGGAGCAAGGAGGACGAAGCCGGTCAGAGCAGCGACCTGAACGTCACGCTCTTTGACATGGACGCCATAGCTTTCTCCACTGACAACTTCGCGGCGTGGAACAAGCTCGGAGAAGGCGGCTTCGGCGTGGTGTACAAGGTAGGTGGCAAGAACAGGCAGATCATGTAACATGTGCAAATTGGTTTGAACTGAACATGATGATTGAGAGCGATTGATGCTAACGAACGGAACGGATTGGATTCAGGGGAAACTGGAAGGAGGGCAGACGGTGGCGGTGAAGCGGCTGTCCAAGTACTCGACGCAGGGTCTGGGCGAGTTCAAGAACGAGGTGATGCTCATCGCCAAGCTGCAGCACGTGAACCTGGTCAGGCTCCTGGGCTGCTGCGTCCATGGAGAGGAGAGGATGCTGGTGTACGAGTACATGGAGAACAAGAGCCTCGACAACTTCATCTTCGGTAGCAAGACTAGCTAACTTTAGGATTCAAGTCTTGAGCTGTCGAGCATTTCACATTCGAATTGGTTCTTTTTACTAATATAATGGTGTGATATACCATGTGTTTGAGCAGACAAGAATCGATCAGCTCAGCTGCACTGGTCGAAGAGGTTCGACATCATCCTGGGCATCGCACGGGGGCTCCTGTACCTGCACCAGGACTCCCGGTACAAGGTGATCCACCGGGATCTCAAGGCCGGAAACATCCTCCTGGACAAGGACATGAACCCCAAGATCTCTGACTTCGGCGTGGCCAGGATCTTCGGCGACGACACCGACTCCCACACGAGGAAAGTCGTCGGGACATAGTAAGCACACCCCGGTTGGCTATCTATGCTCTGCAATTGACCTCAGTTAGCTAGTATTTAACTGTTCTTGGCACGACAATGCACGCACGCAGTGGGTACATGTCTCCGGAGTACGCCATGGACGGCGTGTTCTCGGTGAAGTCCGACGTGTTCAGCTTCGGCGTGCTGGTGCTGGAGATCATTAGCGGCAGGAAGAACCGGGGTATGTACAGCAGCGGCGAGCAGACGAGCGTCCTGAGCCAAGCGTGGAGGCTGTGGAGGGAAGGCAACGCGCTGGCGCTGCTGGACGAGGCGGTGGCACGCGCCGGCACGCACCGGACCTCCGAGGTGCTGCGCTGCGTGCAGGTGGCGCTGCTGTGCGTGCAGGAGCGGCCCGACGACCGGCCGCACATGGCTGCGGTGTTCCTGGCGCTCGGCAACCCGGGCGCGGTGCTCTCGCAGCCCAGGCACCCGGGCTACTGCAGCGACCGGGGCTCCGCGTCCACCGATGGCGAGGGGTCGACAACCTGCACCGTCAACGACGTCACCGTCACCATCGTGGAAGGACGGTGATGCCACGTGGCGCGCGCCAGTCCTGGGCGGTGCTGCTCGGATGTAAGATGTGAATAGCCCTGGGCATTCGGTAAGACCAACCAACCCGACCGGTTTGTTGGTTCCTTTGAAAGTTCGGTCATCAAAAACCAAGGGCGGCCAGTTAAAAAACGAGGAAAATGCATGGCCGATTCTTTAACTTGGCGAGACATGTCATCTAGGTCATGTACTCTTAAAACGATATTTCTAGGTCCATCAAATTAGTCTTGGGTGTCATCCAGATTTAAATGGGTCCACAATCGCAATCGACACTGACGTGGCGCGCTAGCTGTGTGCTGACGTGGGCCCACATGTCAGTTTTCTCTTCTCCCTTACCCCTCTCTCTCCTACCGATGCGGATGGGATCGGGATCGGGATCGGGATCGGGTGCGAGCTCCTCGGCTCCAAGCGGGCGAGACCGGCGCGACGGAGCAGGCGAGAGAGGTCGGCGGAGCAGGTCGCCCAGCCTCGTGACGGCGCGCCGCCGAGCCACTTGGACTCGCCGCGGTGGTGGGGCAGCCTGCGGGCGACACGGCAGCGAGCCCGCGCGCGGCCGGCAGCGGGGCAGCCCACGGCGGCGGCACCGAGCTCACGCTCCACCCGCGGCGGCGCCGGCGAGCCAGCGCTGCCGGCCTGGGGGCGCGGCGGCAGCGGGGCAGCCCACGTCGGCAGCACCGAGCCACTCACGTGGCCCCTCGCGCCCGCCGCTTACGCCGGCGCTCGACAAGCCCAACTCCGCCGCCGCGCGGAGGAACTCGCGCTCCAACAAGCCCGTCTCCTCGAGGTACCTGTCCGCCGCCGCGTCCCCGGCCTCCTCCACATCGTCGTCTTCCTTGTCCTCATCCCGCCGATCCCTGCGCAGCGCACCCGGGCGTCTACGCCGCTGCCGCAGGTCTCCGTCTAGAACTTCCTGAACCGGCCCAAGGGCGCAGACCTGCTGCCCACCAAGAACGCGCTGCTCTTCACGAGTTCACGCTGCTTTCGCAGTACGTCAAGATCCTCTTCTGCCTCTGGTGGGGGCTGCAGAACGCCAGAAACTGAGCACCATCGGGCAGGGCCTGGAGACGACGCACTACAGGGGGAGCAGCTCTTCTCCATCACGCTCGCGCTGCTGGGCCTCATCCTAGTGCAGCACTCATCGGCAACATGCAGACGTATCTGCAGTCCATGACGCTGCGTCTGGAGGAAATGCGACTCTGTTAGAAATATAGGATCATAAGAAGTAGATTGAAAACTTCACTAATCATGGAATAAACAAGTAGATTATCCTAGTACGTGAACTAGAGAGAAAGAAGAGAGGGAAAGAGGGGTAGAAGGGGCTGACCATTCTGCTTGTAGGCGGATGAAGCCATGGAGTCGGTGGCGAAGTCGACGCCGGGGTGAGTGGCTTCGGTGAAAGTGATGAGGTACTCGTCCCGACGGCATAGATCCAGTGGTGAGGGCGGTGGCACCGGTAGTGGCGCTTCCTGTCGCTATCAGCGCTGCCCTCTCGATCGAATTAGGGTTAGGATTTTGGTGGAGAGTTGACGGCTGCAGTGAACCTCGTACCCTATGCCACAGCGTCCATCTTCCTCTTTATAACGCTGCGCGATAGGGGCCCACCAACCATGATTGGGTTGGACGTCCCCGATCAGGGCGCAGATCAAAGGCCTAAATTGGCCGTTGGGCCAACATGGTGAAGATCAACGTAACATTCTCCCCATTGATCTCACTCTATGACTTATACTTAAAATACTTATCTCTTTTTTCTATTCCATCACAGATTAGCACATAGAGCGTGTCTCGTCACAACAGTTAGTACCATTAGATTAACAGCTACAACACACCTCTTTGTTTTGAAAAACAGATACTCAACTATGCCCTTATTGTCCAAGAATCATAGGCTTTCTCGTAAACCCACGCCGGCTAAGTGTTCTCTAAACACATTGGGTGGTAAGCCTTTTGTAAGCGGACCCGCGAGCATTTTCTTTGTACTTATATACTCGAGACTAAAAGAATGATCCCGAACTTTATCTTTCACAACATAAAACTTTATGTCAATGTGTTTGGCAGCGCCACTTGACATATTATCGTGAGCATAACATATTGCTGGCTCATTATCGTAGTACAACTTGAGTGGCTTATGAATGTCATCGACCACTTTCAATCCGGGTATAAATTTCTTTAGCTAGTTCACCTGTCCCGTGGCCTCATAACATGCTACAAACTCGGCATGCATTGTGGACGATACAGTGACGGTTTGCTTTGAGCTTTTCTACGATATAGCTCCCCCTGCGAGAGTAAATACATAGTGTCGGGGATCAATACTAGAGTACCTGAAGAGGATGAGCTAATGACCATCAATATTGATTTATCCGAGCAGTCAAGAGCGCGACTACAGCTCCAACCGACCCTAGACGCGCAAGCTCCGCCTCGCCCGACCTCTGAGGGCGGGCTCCGCCTCGCCCGACCCTTGGGTTCGTGCTCCGCCTCGTCTGACCCCGAGGCCACAGGCTCTGCCTCGACCGACCCCGAGGCCGCGAGCTCCGGCTCGCCTAACCCTTGGGTTTGCGCTCCGCCTTGCCCAACCTCTAGGGCGGGCTTCGCCTCGCCCGACCCTGAGGTCGTGGGCTCCGCCTCACCCGACCCTTGGGTTCATACTCTGCCTCGCCCGACCTCTGGGGGCGAGCTCCGTCTCGTCCGACCCTGAGGTCGCGGGCTCCATCTCGCTCGACGGAGACCCATACCGCCACCAACCACTCCAGTTCTAAGCATATGGGCCTGGGTCAAAACTCTGACATCAAGAAAGAGACCGGCATGCCCCGATGTAACCCGTGGCCATGACGGGCCATACCTAAGGATTCACATCAGGAATAGTGTCGGGCATACCGGTGCTGTTTTGCCTAACCCCCGTATGGACGCTGACAGGCGTGTCAGCTCACCACAACGTTCGCTGCGACGAAATGGAACGCCATGTCTGACAGACGACGCCTGCGTATGGCACCAGTAACGGACAGGGCCATGACATGGAGCTATCCCTATTGACATCTATAGGGTCGGCGGGACCCGCATGAAGGATAAGAAGGATCCAACGATCCTGAAGGACTCTTTTTCTCTCGTTCTTCTCTTTTTTTCCGCTGTAACCCGTGCTTTCCCTTGGCCTATAAAAGGAAAAGCAGGGCGTCCCATGAGGGGGATCCGATCCGACTCTGAACCGATCAGATCCAGATACACACAAGAGCAGCAACCGAGCTCTCAGCACCCTTTCACTCCTTTCACTAGAGACTTGGGACCTGTCCTTCTCTCGTCTGTTTATAACCCCTACTATAAACTTTCATTGCTAGTAACACAAGCAGCAGCGACGAACTGGACGTAGAGACTTTCTGCCCGAACCAGTATAAATCTCGTGTCCTCTAAGCACATCATCCAAGCCAGACGTGCAATATTAGAAATTTACTCGTTGGTGGTAACTCAAAACACCGACACATAGCCTGATGTGGATTTTCTATCATCTACATCGCCCGCAAAATCTGAATCTGAATACCTCTCTATATGGAGGGAATCAGATCTTCTGTACGTTAGCATGAGACCTTTTGTGCCTTGCAAATAACGCAAAGCTTTCTTTACCATTCTCCGGTGTTCTATTCCTGGATTACTCTGATATCTGCCAAATATCTCAATAACAAAAGCTAAGTCAGGACGTGTACATACTTAAGCATACTGTAAGCTTCCCACAGCTGAAGCATATGTAACTGCTTTCAGTCAATCGATCTCATATTGGTTCTTGGGGCATTGGAATTCCCCAAAACTATCGCCCTTGACTATAGGAGCAGGCGAATGCTTACACGTATGCATACTGTATTTCTTTAGAACCTTTTCTAAGTATGCCTTTTGCGATAATCCTAAAAATCCCTATCTTCTATCTCGGTGAATCTCTATTTCTAAAATGAACGAAGCTTTACCGAGATCTTTCATGTCAAAATTTAAGGACAAGAACTTCTTCGTCTCTAGTAGTAGATTAACATCACTACTAGCAAGTAAGATGTCATCCACATACAGGATTAAAAAATGAATTTCCCATTCTTGAACTTTGTATAAACGCAATTGTCCTCCATATTCTCTTTAAACCCAAACTTTCTTATTGTTCCATCAAATTTCAAATACCACTGTCTAGAGGCTTGTTTTAATCTGTAAATGGATTTCTTCAGGTGGCATCCCATACGTTCTTTTCCTTTTATGATAAAACCTTTTGGTTGTGCTATGTAGACATTCTCATCTAAATCCCTGTTAAGAAAAGCCGCCTTTACATCCATTTGATGTAATTCTAAATCGTAATGTTCCAATAACGTTATTATGATTCTAAAAGAATCCTTACATGAGACTAGAGAAAATGTCTCATTGTAATCTATTCCTTCTCTTTGCATGAAGCCATTCACCACAAGTCGCGCTTTAAATCTTTCCACATTCCCTTTGGAGTCATATTTAGTTTTGTAGACCCATTTATAGCCTACTGTCTTGATTCCTTTAGAAATCTTCTCTAACTCCCAAACATTGTTGGTGCTCATTGATCTCATTTCATCTTACATGGCTTCAAGCCACTTTGATGATTGAACGCTTCTCATAGCTTTTTCAAATGAGGTGGGATCACCCTCCATTTGAAATTCTTCTTTACATTGATAGACTTCATAATCATGAGGAATGACTGGTTTTCTGGCTCTTTAAGACCTTCTGAGGGCCTCATTAATTGGCGCTTGTTCCATATGGGGTTGTTGTTGCTCTTCCCCATGTGCGACAACGGGTTCTATAGAATCCTAAAGGACAGGTTTCTCATGTTCATTTATTGTTGCCACAGGAGAACTAACAACAGGTGCTGTCACTACAGTGTCCTGCACTGTTGATGCAGTAGCAACAGGTAGCGAGAAAAAAGGCTCCTGAATCATCAGAGTGGGCACGTATTCCCGCTTCTCCTCAAGGTTAATTTCTCACGCTACCATGCCCCCCCT